TCCCTAAAATAACAAATCATTGTGATATTCTTTGTAATCTGAATGACTCAAGCAACAGAAATTCCACTAAGTCACAGATCTTGGAGCTTATTGTTAGGAAATGTTTAACTTCAATTGTCCTTGTGTGGTTTCAAATTATTACTCATATTTATACTGATGAGGACCATTCTAAACATTTCTGTCCCTCTTTTATGTTTATACTCTTCTAGTATGTGTAGCTAGGTTACCAGGTTATATACTGGAAGGTTGTAATCTTTGTGAAAACACTAATGCCTGCAGCCTTTTAACCACTTTGCTTCCTTCTCTAAATTCCCTTGGGTTCATCAATGTTTTTCTGGTACTCTTACACCAAGAAATTGCATGCAGTTTCTATTCTCAGTTTCTCTAGTCTTGTGCCATTAACAGAGAGTGAAAATTATACCAATCTTTGCTTCACTGCACCAGACACCGCCTGTCAAATAATGTCACGTTTTTGTGATGACTTTTTTTTAAGCAACTCCTAGGAAAAATGATTGAAACTTGAAAGCCGGTATATTTGTAGTATGTAGGTCATAAATTTGCCTTTCAATAAGCAGGTGAAAATCAGATTTGATGTGGTAAAATTAGAAGTGTTTACAAAATGCACTTTGTGCATACATACTAGATTTATGTTGAACAGTAAAACTAACAGTTTCCCAGAAGGGCTCAGTGTATGTTGAAAGCTTGCCTCTCTCACGAACAGAAGTTGGTCCAGTAAAAGATTCTCACCTACCTTGTGTCTCTAATATCCTGGGACTGACACACTTGTAATTACACTGCATGCAATCTGCCAATGCTCCACATATAATGTGCTTGCATAGGTATATGAGATGAATGGAAATTTCTGTTAAAGATGTCTGAGAATTCTGATGCTTGCTCAACAAAATGGAATGAAATGTCTGTTTTCATAGGTAGGGGATTGTGGAAATATGACTTTATTATATTAATGTGTGTGTGAAATGAAGCCCCTTTCTCTATAATGTCAGGGCCAGTGTGATATTTGAAGGGATACACATACAGCACGTATGCATGCGCATGCGCGCGCACACGCGCACACACACACACACATCTACCTGCAGGTGGCACAAAAAAGACAAAACAAATCCAAATTCACTATAAAACTTTAACTAACACCACATTCCATCACATTAACACACTCCAAATTGTCAAAATGACAGCCCATTGTACATGACGCATGAGCATATTTTCCTTCGAACATGCACACTGTGGACTTTGTTATGGTGCTTGGTTTAAAATGGATGTACATATTTTGACCTTATTTGTATATATCATAAGGAACATTTTACTTCTACAAAACAAATGTATTTACACATGTGTTTTTAAATAACTTGAACTTTTAATCATAAAGCACAGGGCCATGTATGGGGGAACTGACTGCACACACCTCACTCTGGCCCTGAGTAATGGGCAGGGGATTCAGCCTCGGTATTCCACAGGAGTCCTGAGATTCATATGTATCTTGGGATACCCACAGGAAAGGCAGAAAGACATCTGTATGGCTCCCCCGTTCCCCAGAACAGAACAGCTGTTTTCACTCTCAGCAGTGTCTACATAAAAATTCCCCTACTGGTGTTTCTGGTGCAACCTCACAGGACTGTTCTGCTTGGAAAGCATATTGGAGTGTATGGCAGTTGCCCTGCTTCTTCCGACCTCCTCTACTCTCTCCTACTGCCTGTTTTGTGGGTCCCCAGGTGCAGAGGGTTACTATCCAGTCCATATGTCACCTACAGTGGTCAGTTTCAGTTCCTAAATTGGCAATGTAAATATTCAATATCTGTCTTTTGCATATCTTGGCTAGTCTCAAACCAAAGTAGAGCTTTCTGGCACCATATGCCTTATAACTAACTAAATCTTTCAGCACTAAATTTTGTTTTTCTATTGTATTGCCCCAAGAATCTCAATGTTTTCCAAAATGTTGTGACTATTTTCTTCCACTATTTGATCTCAGGAAGTGGGTCTGGCCCACGAAAGCTCATCATCTAATAAACCATCTTGTTAGTCTTTAAAGTGCTACATTGTCCTGCATTTTGCTTCAATGTTTTCCAGGCATTGATATATTAGATCAAATAATGAATAAGGATTTTACAAGGAAATTGTGGCAGAGAGAGGTTAAATGAGTTGACCAAGGTCACAAAGCAAGCCAGGTATGGAGTTAAGAGTAATATCCCTGCTTCCTCGTCCTTTCCTTTAATTGCTCAACAACACTTCCTTGTGTGTATAATATAATTTAAAAATCCATTTCAATCTTCTTTGTGTAGCTAATTTAAACCAACATTTTTTCCCTCACCTAATTTAATGTATGTAGGTTTTCTCTGAAGAAAAAGAATCAGTGTATGACATTATTTTCTCTTTAAAGTTGTTGACAGTTCTGATACTTTATCAGATATTTTTGAAGATGCCACAAGATTTGTTCACACTCATATTTGTTTGTGCTGGTTGGCTTTTTCAAAAGCTAATGGACTATATTATCCTTTAAATACAGATTATACACCTTTTTAGCAGGATTTTTTCCCCAAAATTTGCTTTTATAATTATAAATACCTTCATTAAGACTGCAGACTATATGCTCAATAAATGGAAATGATTTACTAGAGAGAATACATATTAAAATGTTCAGGCAGTTTTGCATTTTAAAAAGCAAAGCTGTGCTTCTCAAAGCCTTCAGCATCTACAGGATATAAATGCTGATTAGTATATATAGATAAATAAGACAATCACAAAAGGATTTTTAAAGTAGACTTTATCATATGTGGTTTATTTTGTCTCCTCTCTTTAATTCTCTCCATTTCCCCCATGCTTGCTTCGGATGTCTCACTCCTTCTTCACTTTGCTCTTCTAAATAAGTCATACGCTTCTGTTATAACATTCCACTCCTGAGTATGGTCTCATCATAGCCTGGACAACACCAGGATGAGAGCCATGCTCGCTATCCCTATGTTTAAACAGACTACTATAACACATATTTTTTGAGCATCAGGTTTGGATTGATGTTGTCTGAACACTGGTTCTCTGTAACTGAATTTAAAATGTATTTAAACTCTGTTTTAAAGCCAGTGTAGACAGGACCTTCAATTCAATGTTATCTCTAGTCTTTTCCTTCCTCTATTGGTTTCTCCTGCTCTCATTCAATAAGTTTACTTTTCTGATTGTGCTTCCTGAATCCCAGTTTGGTATTTTATCCTTTTCCATACCTCATAATATGGTTTATTTGTGTTTCTGGGAACTATGGGTGAAATTCTGCCCCATTCATATTAGGAGTTTTGCCATTGACTTCAGTGGAACCAGGATTTCTCCCTATCTCCTTACTCCATTGTGGGCTAGTTTAAAGCCCTCTTGCATAGGTTCCTCTTGCCAGAATCCAGCACTAGATTGAAGGTATGTATTAGACATCTCTACAGTGGATCCTTCCTAGCTCTGCTCAGGAAAAACTAGAGAGTCTGGAACAGGAGGATTTTTATACTGTCCGTTTAGTTGTCTTTTAAGCATATTTTCATGGAGTCTTTCCTGTCTGGATCACTATCTTGACTTCCACTCGTGTCCACAATAGCCAAAAATTATTATCCTCGAATGGCTGTTTGGTAGTCTTTGTGAAATTAGTTTGTTGTTTAAGAGTCCTAGAGGTAGCCACTTGACAAATAGCTCCTGAGTTGATGTTCATTGGCTAGATTAGCAGCATTCACATTGGAGAGAGGCCATGTATCTAATTGGTGTGGGACAGAAAAACTGAATATTCCCTCTTCTTCAAGAAAAACATTGGGTTACATTGGCGGACTAGGGGGGCAAGGAGTTGTGCCTGTTGCTGTACTTATTTTGCAATGTCTGTTTGGGCTGTAGGGTTGTCAGTCCTGCACCTTTGAGAAGCACAACTCCTCCCCCCACCGAGAAAACCCCAAATTCAATTTTTGTCCATATTTTTTCACCCTCTGCCTTTTTACCACAGAGCATCAAAGCTTTGCAGATTGCACAGGCAAATATAGGTCCACGTCTACATTAATCCATGGCATAAGCAATTGCAACTCCATTGACTTCAATGACTTAAGTTGACGTGATTCCTTGAAGCCGCATCTGGCTATGCCAAGGGGGTATCTGCCTTATGTAATGTGATCGTGTCAGCAACATGGCCATGGTCCACTATTCACAAACATCAATAGAGGGAGAATTTCTTCTGCCTTAAAAACACTTGGATGTCACTAACGTCTGTGGTTTGAGATTGGGTATTAGGGCCTTTTAATCGAGTGATTAATTATGCTGTTGGAATGTTACTGTTTGTATCCGAATAAATATCAGAGTTAGTCCATTTGCTAGGATGGTACAATGGCTTTATTCACCCCAGAGAAAGTGCATTCATTAAACTATTCATGCTTCTTCTGAATTATGGGCAAAGGTTCAAACTCTAAAACATTTTAACAGCCAGGCGTTCTATTTACAGAACAAATGCCATAAGTTTCTAGATGCCATTGTAGATATCTTGATACTGTACTATCCATTATTATTGCAATTAGAAATGGAATGTTTCTTATGGAAAGGTCCTATACTATTTTATAGAGACTAGCCCTTCTATATATAGGTTTTTTAACTAACCTACAGAATTCTTCAAATAGAATTTTTTGTTGAATTTAGTTGTTTTTGGATAATTTGTATAGAGCCCTGCTTAATTTCTCTGGAATGCTGTTGACTTCATCTCTAAAATGTAATCCCCAGAATGGACAATGACCACGAGAGACTTAATGATACTCTGAAAAGTTAAGGAGGGATATTTTTTTTAATATCTGACTCAGCCACAATATTGTGTGTTATGTTTTTGTTTTATAAAGATCTATAGCTATCTTTTGAGCTCCAAACATATGGACCTTGTCTTGAAACGTACAAAGCAAGGTCTGAGTGACTGTTACAGCAAGCTATTCATGGTAACTGAAATGACAATGATCTTTTCTTTTCTCTTTCTCTCTTATTAACTTTAGGTGTTCTTTGCCTGCCAGAAAGTCTCAACCTTCACAAAGACCAACAAAGGTCTAATAAACCTGGCGAAGTTCAGATGTTTAGCCAGTCCGAATTAAGGACCATAGAGCAATCCTTGCTTGCTACACGGGTGGGAAGCATCGCCGAACTCAGTAAGTGCAGCACCATTTATCTTTGTTTCCTCCTAAAGTAGAACCAAAAAATGAGTTCTTGCATGTCTCTATAAAACACAGGCTGGAGCCCAGGAGTGCTGTCAAGGAAGACTTCTTTTATAGTGGGAAGAAGGGCCTTATTGTCTTCATAGCAACCCCACTCACTGGTCAGTTTGGAAGGTGAAGCCTGGTACCAGGCCTTAGAAGAGAAGAGGGTAAAGTGTGTAGATGATACAAACATACAAATGACTCCATTAGATCATTCATCACCACCTCCCCTTCCTGTGGGAGGAAAAAATAAAATAAAACCTATGGAACATGCATTAGTTGCCTGGAAAATAAATTATTTGTTATTAATCAAAACATTTTGGGGGCAATACGATAAGATGCTTTACCTGTCACAATTCTAAAGATTTTTTCAGTATAAATAAATTATTCAGTTCCCTGAACACCACAGACCTGTTTTGTTTGTAAGAAGCAAATGCTCTGTGAATCCTAATGCAATGTAAAAATGCAGGGGTTGAAGGTGAGTTTCTTCTTAGGGTTTCTCTGAAGCAACAACCTCACAGCATTTGTTTACACTGTAGCCTCAAATTCAAATATTTAGCTGATTTGGTAGCATTGTGTGTAGTTGTACTAGCAGCTACTGTGGACTGAGGAGCTTGTAGCAGTACATTTCAAGATGGTGTGGTGGGTCTATTAGCTGTTGGCCCAGAACCCATATGAATTATTCTTCAGGGATGTAGCTGGAAAATGATGCCCTTAAGATGGGTGGATTGATTTAAATCCAGAAGATTTAGATTATTATTTAAACCACTAAGTTGGAAAGCCTCAATTTCAATTGTCCATTTTAATCAACTTTTGTTTTTGTATGTCAGTTATTTTCTAAAGAAAGGGTGCATTCTCATTGATATAACCATTAAACATGCTGATTTACAACTAAATAGAACTTTTACATAGATGTGATACTTCTTTTTACTACCAAGGAAACTATATTAGAACTATATGCATTTATATATAGGAGAGTATACTATAAATATATACATTTATTTAAACTATTAGAGATCTCAACTTTTTCAGATTCTTACTAATTGTATATTTTAGTATGTTAGAAAATGCTGTTTATTTAGCAGATAATTAACTTGTTGCTTATGATTTGTGTCAAACTGTATTAGAATAGTAACTGGAATTTAATTAAACCCCAAAAACAGCATATCAAATTTATTAAACAAAACATACTTAAATGTTTTGGATACATAAACTTCTCATATCAAAACACGTCTTACATTTACAACTAAAAGATGTATTAAACATAGGAATTAATTGTAGTCAGAAAATTAAACGGATTATTTCAGGTCAGCCTGGAAAAAATTTCAAGTATGCATAAGCGAAAGGGGCTAGAGCTTAACTTCCTACTTTCCTAAGTCTCTTTAAAAAAAAGATTTGCTCCAAAGGTACCTAGGCTAACCTATTGTGCCATATTTATACAGCTTGACCTCAAAAGCTAGATGTTATTGCTTTGATAAATACACAGAATCTTTCATAGAGGCTCATGGACTCAGCATATTTATATTTTAGTAAAATATTTTAAGAAATTTAGCCCTCAACATGTTTTGTATTAAATTCATCTCTCTTTTTAAGCAGGTTTATTTTTATAAAGAAAAACATTGTTTAAATAACAAACTGGGAAAAAAACTAATTTATATGAAAAAATTATATTTTTACAAATTCATTGATTTTTATCCCCTTTTTCCTCAAATCAATGGGAATTGTGTGGTGATATCTGAAAGCAGAATCTGGTTCCTTAAGCATATTGATAAAAATCAGAGATTCCGCAAGCCAGTGCACCCCCAAAACCCCATGTGCACACATGATATAGAAGAAGAGTTAGAGGTGGTGGGGGTAATGTGAATGTCTGAGAGAAGGAGAGTGTCAGCCAGTCAGTCAGTCGTCAGTATGTACCATAACATGTCACAATACCCTAGGAGCCAGACCCTAAATTTTGTGGCAATCTTAAATACACTCTGAACAAGAGGAAAGCATGAGCCTGTGCCAAAGCTACTAAATATTTTTCATAGCCAAGGAAAGTGATTAAAAAAAACCCCAAGTAGTTGGCAACCAAGAAAATGAACATGATTATGCAGAGTTTATTTACATTAATAATTAATTTAAGTGCCCAGAACAGCTAGCATCCAAAAATATGCAGATGCCAAGGAAAGATGCCTCTTTGCTCTCACCTTTTCTGTCTGGAATCAGGATGCTTTGCTGAGTGGCCAACTGTGTGGCCGCTAATGTCTTTGGGGATAAGAGCAGCAATCTATCTCCCTGCAAGATGCTGGCTGGCAAACTAAGCCAAATTACTGCCCTCTTTCTGTTTCCCTCATTAAGTCACTTTCACTTTTGTATTTTGTAGTCTTTGCCTCTGTCCAGAATAAAATATCTCCTAGCTTAAGTGTATCAAGTATGTTTTCTTGTCTGGTCTTCCATTTTCCCATTCCTTTCTTCCCTCTTCCTGTTTTTTTTCTTCTTTCCCTGTTACTTTCTTTTTGCTCTCTCTCGTATGTATTATTTTTCTTTCTCATCCTGTTTCTCCTTTTCTTTCTTACAAACCAGGTAACATCCCCCTTCCCCCTTGTTTCATATCTTAACTATGAAATATATTTGTCTAGTCCACTCTCCCATGTCCATTGTTGTCCTTCCTCTTTACTTTCCTCCTATCTCTATCTTCTCCTCTCTCATCCTCCTCCTTCATGCTGTTCTGCTCTTGAGCATGCTGTTCTAACATTCCTTCCCCCATCCTTGCTCTGCTGTTATCTCCTGTTCAGTCCCATGCTGCTCCTCTGTGTTTAGTTGTATGTCTCCCAATATCTCTTACCAGGCATGGAAGGGGTGGTGGGGAAGTTTGCTCTCTCATTCCTCATGTTGTATCCATTGTGTGGATAAACAGAAGATTTCAGGCTCCACAGCTGTCAGCCCAGAGGCTCCACCTCTGGGACGTTTCCTGGGTTCTTTTGTTCTTAAGGGGTTGAAGCCCAACACTTCCTGGAATCCACATAGGCCAGAGAGGATGGATCTTTTGTTCTGGTGGGCTCATGGC